GGAATGGTGGGTAGAAGTACTTTAGTCTGTTCTTCACACTGCTTGTTTGTTGACATGGACATTACCTCACTGCCTCTCCTGGAAATATTAAATAGCAAATGCTGACAAGGAAGCTGTGCATTACACCAGTGGCTTATGTTACTACATTTTAGTTAGCTGTGCCAGAAGATAATTGGTTGCACTGAGGCTTCTCAGTATGAGGCAACTGCTAAGTGATCCTTCCTTCTCACACACACACACAGATACAGACAGGTTTACTCAAAGGACATCCAACAATAGATAGTACTAAATACACATATTGCAATTTAAAAAAACCCAAAAACATAAAAGAGTCATAGAACTATTTTAATATTATGCTGCTAAGTATGATCCACTATATATAATTCCCACATACCTGTCTCCAAAGGGACACTGTAGCTTGGTAAGCTTTGTCCTGCTGGTGATCTTGCTATAGCACTAACAGAGAAAGCAGATCCACAGGGAAGATCAATTAGGGTACAGGAATTTCCAGTGCTTGTGCAATGCCAAAGTCCAGCCTCTCCTCTGGCAGTGACAACATATGTAGCTTCTTCATTGCTAGATTGCCACTGCACACTGATTACTGAAAGGCTCTCCTTGGAGATATTCTTAATTTCAGGACTGCAGGGAGCTGAAATATTTCATATTAATAGTATTTAAGCAGATTGTTTATGCATAATACATAAGTTACATATGAAAATGAAATTCCAGTTAAAACTGAGAAGCTACTTTAAAAAAATGTATGATCTTTATATGCTTACTCCTGGTGAGAATTTTAAACTTGTGACAGAACTGACAACATAAGGATTTTGTGTACAAAATCAGAGATAAATTGTCAATCTGGTTTTCAAAATACTAGAGCTATCAGAAGCTTTCAAACCAAACCTGGCTTTACATTTAGATTTGAAAGGGGCCTACAGGAAAGCTGAAGAGAGACTTTGTTAGGAGCTGCAGTGACAGGACAAGGGCCAATGGGTACAAATTGGAAGGGGAAATTTAGGTTAGATATTAGGAAAAAGTTTTTTACTGTGAGGGTGGTGATACAGGTTGCCCAGAGAGGTAGTAGATGTCCCCCAACCCTAGCAGTGTTTAAAGCCAGGTTGGATGAAGCTTTGAGCAACTTTATCTAGTGGGGAGATATTTTCAAAGACTTCCAGGGTTTTTGTCTTTTTTTGTTTAAATTTTTATCAGTTACAGTAACTTAGTACTCCAGCAATGCTTTTCATCCGTGACTCACTGCAGTGTCTAATAATTATTTCTCCTTCTAAAGGAAAGTGAGAGTGAAGACAGTACCTGTTTCCACGCGCTTGGGCGCACAGGACGTGTTGCTGCCCCTGGCCTCGCTGAAGGAATACACGGTGATGCTGTAGGGGGTGTTGCACTGCAGAGCAGACAAGGTGCAGGCTGTGGCAGTGTCATTGCAGAGCACCACACTGCCCCAGTCAGCAGCTCTGGTCTCGTACATGTCAGCACCTCGGACGGGAGCCCACGCGACCCGCACGGTGTCGCTTGACACGAACACGGCTCTGAAGTCGCTGGGGCAACAAGGAGCTGGGAACAGACAAGGCAGACAGGGAAACTCGAATGGGAAGGGAAAACTGGCACGAGTAAGAGTCTCATTTCATTTATCTATGTGCTTCATGTCTTAAATCTCCAAAGGTGACAAATACTGTGCAAACAGCCTCATGAGTCCCACTTACTCCACGAATTAATTCAGTGCCCCTCCTTCCAAACTGATAGAGGACATCCCAGTGGTTAGGTCAGACAAAGGAATTGCATATATCCTTGCTTAAAAATTTCAAAGCATCTAGAGGCTAAATACTACTAAAAATGTTCTTCTGAACTTTCCATTGAACTTGCTTTTTTTTTTTCATTTATCAAGTATGAAAACTCCCTCTGGGGAAGTTTAAGACTTTGGTGCACCCTCCCTAAGATAAAAAAAACAACATCAGGCCTAAAATTCAGCTGTTGTGCCAAGGCTGTGTGTTATTCACATGTCCTTGCCTGAAGATTGTGAATTGTTAAACTAACTATTTCCACATTTGTATGCATGTTGTTGCACTTTATTCAAATTAAATTTAATTGCAATGTGAAGTGGTTCTTTTTCCTTGTCAATGTTTGTGTGTTTTGCCCAAACTTTGAATAAATATAGAAGTTTAAGTCATTATCTTCCCATAAAAATGTCCAAACAACTCTACCATAAGCACAGTTAAAGGATCCAAATGAATCTACAAGAACACATGGGTACTTACCAGTGGTGTAATTGAATACATCACCCAAAGGGCTCTGCCCTGCCTTGTTATATGCAAAGACACTGATGAAATAAGTGAAGCCACAGTCCGACTGGAAATGACATTGAGTGTATGACGTGTTGCAGTACACTTCCAAGCCATCATCGCTCTTCACAAAAACCACATAATAATGCCCAAAACTGACACTAGACCATGATACCAGCAAGTGTCCAGGTTCAGCCTCTTCAATTGATATATTTACTGGTGCACAAGGAACTGAAAAAAACCCCACATTAAAAAAAAAGAAAGAAAGAAAAAAAGAATTGCAATGAGAATATTTTTATTGAAGTTATATTTTTGGGAAATAAAAGGAAAATCAGGAATATATAGAATTATTCCACTTAGCTTGAGCAGTTGCTTTGTCTTGTTCAAGAAAACAGCAACTTATCTGCCTTTACAGAGGATGCTACTTACATTTAGATAGCAAGTGGGTACAATTTTTACAGAACAACATAGATGCTACCTTCATGCTTTACAGAAACAACATCTGCTTAAGGAGCCCCTGTGAACAAAAGCAGTGGCACCAGGCAGTATTTCAAAAGGAATTGGCACAGTGTGTGCTCACAAATAGTAGGTTTGGATGACAACTGAAATACTAGCCTGAATAGCAGTTGGCATCCAAAAGCCTTTCTATGTGAAAAGCCTTTCTATGTTTGCATGAAACTCGCTGTGTCTGAATAGAGCTGTCCTTTGCTTAGGTTTCCTTTCTGGTGGCATCCCAAAATGTCACATTAAACTGCAAACTCCATGGCTTTTGTTTAAATAACATTTACTTTCATTCTAGTTCAAAAACTGTAGCTTGCTGCTATCAGAATGAATGTAGATCTAGCTGAAGCAATGCTGGCTGAGAAGATTACAGCCCATAGCTTAAATGCTGTCTCCTGTGTAAGGTGCTCTCATCCCATTAGATCCACCTCAGAGCTGCTCACATGATTGATCTCTAATTCCTATCAATGAGAAGTCAAAATGAGGCAGGTTACATCAAATAACTAAGTAAATAACACTGTGTCATTCAAGTAGCACATAAAGGTTTAGATTTTGTTTACATGGGCAATTCACCTAACAGGTCAGGATGCAATAACCTGACATGGCAGTGGTGCTGTAGGTCAAAGCAGCAAGCTTTTGTGCTGGCAATGGTTAGTGGTTTCTTAATTTAGTCTAGGGGTGCTACTTTGGCTGAATGTGGTTTTGTTGACCTTCTTTCTAACTAACAACTAGATTTAGCCTAGAACAGTGCTCAGCCCAGAGGCAGTCCTTAATGCCATTTCCTAGTGGATTTGTCCCAGTCTATTTGGAACAGACCTGACAGAGTAGGACAGATCTTACATGAGTTTTGCACTTGATACCGAGAAGTAGACTGAAAGCAGGAATTGAGAACAGTTCAAGCTGAAAGCATAAAGAACAACTTCACTAATAGCATTATTTCAGCTTAATTAGCAAAATAGCGAGGATCACATAGTATAGCTAAGGAGTTTCACTAACGGTGTTGTTTTGGCTTGGTTGGCGAAACGATGCGTCTTATCTATAAGACAGTAGAACTAACTAGACTCAAACCTTGGCACTAAGGGGAAAACTAAGGCCATGTGGGGTGTGGAATGAAGAAACAAAATGTTCAAGATAAAGGCAAGGTCAGCAAGGCATGCAAAACTGTACAAAGGGGTAAACGGTTGCATAACAAAGGTGTCCAAAGGGCACTGAGGAAGAGGAGACACTTCATCTTCACGACCACCCAACGACCACCAGGAGCGTGGGACTGATGCCAAGAGGGAGGAGACGGAGGAGGAGTATATAATAACGATTTCTGAGAACTAATTATAATAATAACAATCACCAATTCCTGGAAATAATTAATATATATGAGCATTTAATGTATATAAACTGTGAAGTTTCTGTCCCTGGTTGCACAAGCTTGGTGGAGCGATCCCCCTTGTGCCCAGCGCTGACTAAACAAATACCTGCTACTCAGAGATACAAGTCTGGGAGTAGTTCTTTTCCAGCCTTTTCTCAGCATCACACTCACAAAATTAACTTTAGAACATGTACTTCTGGTAAGAGGAAAATGCAGGCTTACTGGCTCAGCCAACAGTACATACACCATTGCAAGATGTTCTTACAGAAATATGAAGGAAATTAGGCTCTTATCCCTGAAAGGAGATCTCTGCACTATCAACCCTGCACAAATCCTAAACATAGCCCAATACTAGCCACTGTGAAGAAGGGTCCAGAGAAGAGCAACGAGGCTGGTGAAGGGACTCGAGCACAAGTGCCATGAGGAGAGGCTGAGGGAGCTGGGGGTGTTCAGCCTGGAGAAGAGGAGGCTCAGGGGAGACCTTATCACCCTCTACAACTCCCTGAAAGGAGGTTGAAGTCAGGTGGGGGTTGGTCTCTTCTCCCAGGCAACCAGCAGCAGGACAAGAGGGCACAGACTCAAGCTCTGCCAGGGGAGGTTTAGGTTGGATATTAGGAAGAGATTTTTTAGGGAGAGAGTGATCAGGCATTGGAATGTGCTGCCCAGGGAGGTGGTGGATTCACCATCCCTGGAGGTTTTCAAGCTGAGACTGGATGTGGTACTTAGTGCCATGGTCCAGTAACCACAGTAAGGTTGGACTTGATGATCTTTTCCAACTTGGTTGATTCTATGATTCTATGAATTAGAAAAGTATATGGAAAAGTTCATGCACAAAGGTCGAAAGCAGAAATAACTATTTGAGAATCAGTCGTGAATTGCAATGGACTAATTTACATATGAAATTAAAGAAATATATGTTAAGATGCCATAAGCTAGATCAGGATCAATGATACATACCAGTTTTTAAGCTTACTGCATCAGTAGGTTTGCTGGATCCAGCATCATTGTGTGCTGTGACAGAAACATAATATTCAGAGCCGCACTGGAGGGATGGCACCGTGCAGGAGGTGGAAGATGTGTTACACTTCAGTTTCAACAGTCCACTGGAGGCTGTGACACTGTAAGTTAGAGCTCCTTCTGTTGGCATCCAAGAAACAACAGCTCTTGAAGCACCACTGTTAAAAGCTACTTTAACATCCACCGGTGTGTTAGGACCTATGGTGTATCAGTTTGGAACACGTAAATACAACATTGATTATGGCCTACAAGCATGATCTTTTTCAGAACTTGCAAACTAAATAATTTTTTTTGTGGTGCAAACCTTACCTTCTTCCATGTTAAAGTGACATTTTATAAAAGAAATAGTTCTACACCACTGTTAAAAGCTACTTTAACATCCACCGGTGTGTTAGGACCTATGGTGTATCAGTTTGGAACACGTAAATACAACATTGATTATGGCCTACAAGCATGATCTTTTTCAGAACTTGCAAACTAAATAATTTTTTTTGTGGTGCAAACCTTACCTTCTTCCATGTTAAAGTGACATTTTATAAAAGAAATAGTTCTAGTTGTACACTGAAGCTTCCTGTCTGCTGAAACTCCCTGCCTCATTTGAATATTTGCTTCTTACAGTTGGAAAAATCCTCAAATCAGTCTAAGCTTGTGTAATCCTTATCCAGATCTATCCCAGGTACCACTTTAATGACAGTAAATGGCATATTTGCCTCAGTAATATTTATTAAACACAGCCATGTCATTTGAGCTTTCATAAACTTTGAGATGGGGTAAAAATTTTATGATCTCAATATCTACCCAATGTATCTTTGAAAAACATAACACAATCACACATACACAAAAATACTTCCTGCTATGTTGTTGCTGTTTTGTTTTTTGTTTTTTTAATACTGACTTGGTTTCAGAAAAGAAAATTTCTTACTTGTTCGTTGGTTATATATGAAATCATCTCCAGGCATCCCATTGACATTCCAGGCATAAGCCTTGATAGTATAGAGAGTTCCTGGATCTAGATTTGTAAATATCAAGGAGGTGTTGGTGGTGTTCTCCTTCAGCATTCTGCCCAAACCATCTGATCTCATGAGTGACACAGAGAATCCAGCTGCCATATACACAGCTTTCCAGCTCACTGCAATGGAGTCACAACTTGGAGAACTCACAGACAGAATCGGAGCAGCCAGGACTGTTGGGAAAGAACATCAATGAAACTTTTGGTTTTTCAGCAGTAGAGCTTGAAAGGCCCAAATTTGAAATGAATGCACAGCAACAACAGTGACCAACCCTGAGAGACAAGTTCAGCAACTACAAAACTGACAACAACAAAAAAGGAGAATGGGATCAGTACAATTTAAAATACAAGATTATAACAATTCAGCACTGGTACATGCATGAATGCTTTATAGTAGAGTAACATTACAGAATTTTGAATGTCCACCTGTTTTTGCTTTTCTGAAAGGTGAGGGCTGGCTCTTTCCTCCTGAATTCATAGATCTGATGGTGATTCTGTACAAGGTGGAAGGTTTCAGTCCCGTCACTGTGCCTGGAGAATTTTTAACTACAGTTTCAATGAAGGAATCTCCATCTTGTGCAGTCAGCATGTAACTAGTAGCCCCAGGGACTGCTCTCCATTCCACTGTGATACTGTTGCTAAGTTTTGAATAAGCTTGGTCGATAACAGGTATGTCTGGAGCTAAAATGGAAATAACAATAGACATACTGAGGTTGGGGAACTCAGCTCTGTGAAACACTGAGTGCTCTGAGCATTTCACACAGACAAATGTAGGACAAATAGTCTACACTTTCTATGAATGATTAAAATTTAAGTTAAATGGAGTTTCAATGAACATTAACAAAATACACAGCGTCTTGAGATATTCTAGACCAAATTATCATGAGTAAAAATATTCTAGTACCCTGAAATCACTACTGAAAAATACCATTACTTAACCTAGGCTGCACTGAGAGGTCCCTTTTTTCTTCCTCTCTTGCCAATTAACTGTATTAATTACCAACTAAAGCAATATAAAAAGCAATATATACAAAGATGTGGTGCATATTTATACAAAGCAGTCTAAAATCCAATGCTGAATCACAGGCATTTCTATGGCAAAGCAACATACAATGCCCTAGCTTGGAAAGGTCAGGGAAGCTCTTCGAACCTCCTGCTCAGAGCAGATATGCTTAGATAGACAATAATATGACAAATCAAATTTTGCAATTAAATGCTTTGCTGATATGCTGTGCTGCATGCCATTCAGGAAGAGCTCGTGTCCTGCGCCCACAAAAACAACCACCCAGGGTGTATAGCTAACCACAAGTAATTTATGTTCAGAAATCAGGATTTTCAGACTAGAAGCAGCATTTGTGAAGCAAGTCCGTGTATTGCAATGTATTTTTTTTCTGAAAAAAAACTCACTAGAAGAGAAAAATAAAATGGAGGTGTATCCCACATAAAGTTTAGAAAAGGAATGAAATATGTGCCTTGAGGCAAACTTGTTCATAGCAAGGCAGCTAATGTGGGATTTGGGAGACTCCAGCAAGTATTACACACAGTTATTCAGCTGAGTGTTACACCTGCTCTCTGAGTTCCAAGCACTTTCTTACCACTTATAGTCAGACACTCTTTTGCCCCTTTTGTAAAAATGGCACCACATATTCCACCTGGCCATGCCTATGGAATGTTTGCAGCTGTGACTTTTGCAATCTTTGAGCAAGGCACTGCACTAGAATATTGTTTTTGTTTAGAAAAACTATCTTTAGTAACAAATCAGATACATATTTGTGCAGGAAATCCTTATGCAAGTCTAAGGGAGTTCCTTGCCTAACAGTCAAGCAGAGAATATATAGTACATGATTTATATCAGAAATCAATTACGGAACATTAATATCTGTTCTTCCAAACCTAAGCTAGCAACAGATGCTTTGTTTACAATTACCAGGATAAATAATTGCTTATATTTACCATGATAAAACACTTATACTTTTTTATTTTCACATTTTATTCTAATAATTAATTTTATAATAAACGTTCTACTGTAAAAATAATGGCCATTTCTAAAAATTATCAAATAATTTCAGAAACAGAATTTCAACAGAGTACTTTTTCAATTACATCTCAGTGATGAAATAAAAAGGCACTTCTGTTTATGTAGATTCTGCTTCAATATCCATCAATTACTTAGATGCTCCAAGTCCTTTGGTGAATGAAAAAAAATTAGTTTACCAGCATCAGTTCTGAAAAACATTTGTAGTGAAATGTGATTACAAAAGTGATTTGAAATCTGCAGGTGATTGGAAAAGCTGCAGTCTGAGCAAGCCAGGCATAGCAGGTCTGGATCAGAGATACTAAAAATAATCAGAGGAAAAAAGGAGCTGATCATGCTAATATTGAACTCAGCAGCAGGACCAGCAAAAGGTTTCAACAGGAATGGCAGTACAATGAAACATCAAGGATAAAATCCCAGTCATATGGAGGACAATGGAAATTTTACTTCATAGTTTCTCTTACTAACCTGTTGACTGCATGATCTGTGTTTCTGCAAGAATAATTCCATTCTTGTCAATGGCTTCTGTTTGTACAGCATAAATAGTATTGGGAATTAATGAAGTTAGGGTTGCTTTGAGTGTAGCATCACTAAAACGAGTCAGTAATGAATGGCCTACAGTATTCACAGCTGTAGCTGTGACTCTGTAAGAAGAGGCTCCTGAAAATTTGGACCACCTGAGAGAAATGCTCCGTGATGTCACATCATATATAGATACAGAGAAACCTAAAAAACAAAGAAATCATTATCAAAAAACATTTTAGTTGTTCCTGAATTTAGTCAAGTCTTGACAGGAAGACTGTTCAGTGCCTTATCAAGCAGCTGTGTGACCTAATTTTCAAACCACAGGCATTCTGCTGAATTTGGAATGCTATTTCCCTTCTTCACATGTAAAGATACAACCAGTGCCAACACTATTCCATACATAAATAGGATCAAATGCTTGTTTTGCTAATCATGAAAAGAGCATGTTACACTAAGTGCCCTGATACTGCAAGATGTCTGTAAAGATTCAGTATTTAAGGCTCCTGAGAGTGCAGGAATCTGTGTTATCACCAGAGGCTGCAGGAATTCTGAAAGCATTTCTTGTAATCTTGCATTTATCTTACTTTAAACTACTTAAAACTCACATTTTAGGAGCTGTAGGCACAAAAAGCAGGACTGAAGAAAGAATAAAACTGCAAAACACTGGAAACATTTGCACATAGGAGATGATGCTTCTTCTAAGTGTGTTTTTTTGTTTGGTTTTTTTTGGAGGGAGTGTGGTGGGGTTTTCTTTTTTGATTTTGTTGTCATTTTTAATTATGAAATCATACAACAATAAATTGGGTGCAAATATGGGACAGTTTGAATCCTATTTGTAGCACAGTTATGTAGGTGATGGACAGCAGAATTTGTCCATCTGAGTGTTCTCCCTGTTTCATGCTAGTGTCAAGGCATAAGGTTATATCTTTGTGCAAGTGTCCAACAGAATTTGGACTCCTAAAAGTCAGGTTTAAAAATTATAAAGATAGCAACATAATTTCTTAAAGCTGAATCAAACTTGAATAAAAATTGTTTATAAAGCTGCTGGAACTTACAGAATATTTTATTTGAAATCACATGTGTGTGATGTCCTCAGACCATTCAAAAATAGGCAGGAAAACCAAAATACCATTTTGTAGATTTACCTGTGTTAGCTGAAAAGATCTGAAAAGGAAAATGCAAAAAAAAATTAGAAATAGATCATGAAATACTTTATTTGGAAAATTAAAAGCCTAAGAATGTTAGTAACAACAACAACAACTTGAAAGACCAAGTTTTTGAATACATTTTACTGATGTGATGCATCTGCTTGGATTCTGTAAGCATGGAAAGAGTACAGAACCCACGAGATTGGGTAGAGGTATGCAGGTCGTACTATTTTGTCTTTTTTTTTTCTGAATCTGCCTATTGATCAGTTTTCAGCTGCCGACACGCTTTGAAAGGCCTTAGGTCCTAACATACTCTTTTATTTTTCAATCACTTTTCGATCAATTTTCAATCACTTGCAAACGGTGCAGAAGTGCAACAGCAGCTCAATTCCAGCCTTGAAGTGGGTGTCTGCTCCTGTCCACCCTTTGTAAAGGTAACTTTACAAAGAGTACAGTACTGAAATCACGTTAAAGCGAATGAGGTGCACTCACCATCTCTAGGCAGTTGAGCAGCAGTCCCGCAAACACTAAGGATTTACTGTGTGCGCAGCACATCTTGTCCGAGCTGTGTTCAGGCTGCAGACGGGACGCGCTGGGGCGATCCCTGCGGGGGGAGAGGAGGTCCTGGGGCTCCTCCCAACATTCTAGTGGA